AGAAAGAATGAAAGAAAGATGAATTACGGCAAAACGCAAACGTCAAACAGCCGGACCTACCCGCATGTAGGTTAATGACGTGGGTCTGCGGCACCCTTTTCCATCGTCTCCGGGTGACAGGATTCGTTGGCCTTGTTCCTCGTTCATGTCGTATTTCTTGTCCCTGCTTTGACAGTTTCGACTCCCCAACTTCCGCCACCGAAGAAGTTCGCAACGCCATGCCACCATTAATTTAGGATGCGACAGAAGTCGAACATCGGGCCATATTGTCTGCAACTTGCGCTAAAGAACAACAGGCTTTGAACAACTGTGGCATATTACGTGACGCGATGGCGTAAACAAAGACCAATTTGGTAAAATAGGATCAAATCGCGACGGTTTTTGAAAAGCATTTGGCAAATCGGATCAGTGATAGAGGAAGATGAAGTGATAGACAAAGTGAATTTATCAGTGGCAGGCAGTGATATGAAATGGAGAAGTGATCGAAGTCATAGTAAATCGATACAATCATAGCGAAGACAATGAAACGGATCAGTGGGAGAAGGTGCCAATCAGTAGTATGTAGTGAATCGGTGCAAGAGATTGGCTAGAATCGACTGGTGGTAAATTACATCAGTTATAGCAGAGGCTCCATAAAATGGTCGATATCGACCCCTGGAGTGGATGGGACTAACTATAGTATCGATAAATGCATAGATGATGGGTTCAAAAGGGCTAGATAAATAAATCGTGGCGACTTACAACTAAAACCAACCAATTTCTGAATAAATATCAATGCCCTTGCTAATTCTTATCCAATAATTCTCCCCATTAAATTATGGCGACTTACAACTAAAACTCACCCATCTCCAACTAAATATCAATGTCCTTGCTAATTCTTATCCAATATATTCTCCCCATTAAATCATGGCGACTTTCAATTAAAACCCACCAATCTCCAACTAAATATCAATGTCCTTGCTAATTCTTATCCAATACATTATCCCGATCAATGACGTCAACCAATTCAATAAAAAGGTATATTTTAGTATTATTACTTTTAATGTGGTTATTATTACCAATATTAATTGTGAATATTTTCTCATCGGGCTTACGGCCACATCACATTGAAACATCGATTCCCGTACGGACATCGAAGTTAAGCAACGTTGAACCTGGTCAGATTCTAGATGGGTGACCGCTTGGTCATACCAGACTTGTATGACTATACCATTATTATTTCCAAAATCAAAATTGCGTACAAAATATTTATAGTTTCGGCATTAAATAACCCACAACCGTTAACCAACCAACTCATAATAATAATTAATATTCCTTCTGGATGTAGTTGGTTACTTCTCTCCACAGCTTTTCTTTTTTATTACTATTTACAAATTTCTATGAATTCTTGTGAGATATAACGGAGTGATTTCCTGTTGTCTTTTGCACAGTTTTAAATTCAGATCCGTCTTTCTCCTAAACTGGTTGCATTATCAAAACTAAAGAGCCCAGTCTACGTTAATATTTACCCATAACTTGGGGGGGGGCAGAAGAGACGGAGTCATATGTGAAGTAAGCGAAACGGCCTCAACTGGAATTTGAACTTGGCTCCACCATTACTACGACAGTTATTGCTACCCTCAGTGTGTGCTCTGCATTATTTACCTTGTGCCAGACTGTGTAAAATGGATTTTAGAGTGGAAAATAATCTGCGTAGGGGTTTTGAGCGCCATCAAAGCTGGAAAGTGAGAAATGGGCAGCTCCAGCCTAAATATGATAGTTCCGGTCCAAATATGACAGCTCCGGTCCAAATATGACAGCTCCGGTCCAAATATGATTGCCTGGGCCAAATATGATAGCTCCGGTCCAAATATGATTGCCTGGGCCAAATATGACAGCTCCGGTCCAAATATGAATGCCTGGGCCAAATATGATAGCTCCGGTCCAGATATGATTGCCTGGGCCAAATATGATAGCTCCGGTCCAAATATGATTGCCTGGGCCAAATATGATAGCTCCGGTCCAAATATGACAGCTCCGGTCCAAATATGACTGCCCGGGCTAAATATGACAGCTCCGATCGAAATATGACAACCCCGGCTCAAATATGATAACTCCGGTCCAAATATGACAACTCCGGTACAAATATGACAACTCCGATCCAAATATGATCTTGCAGGGCACAGCAAAAAGAGAACAAGGAGTGATAGAAAGAACCGGCAACTTTAGCAGGATCTTTAGCAACGAATATTTTCCTTTACCGAACCTTCCGTTACCAATTTTCTGGCGCCAAAAACTGGCTGACGCCCATGCAAGACTACACAGTGATCCTCTACTTGGAGTGGCTCTTGGGTCTTGTAATGGGTAGATATTCGTATAAAAAACTGCCACGAGTGTCAGCTACATATTCCACTACTTCCTGAAGTCTCTGATAAAGTCGAAATAGAATAACAAAAAGAGTACGGTGGAATTGGGGAGACTTGTTGTCACTTTATCTCTAATGTAAGCTACTAGTTTCTACTGGCGTGAACGCTGAATGAGTGACCATTGATAATAATAATAATAATAATAATAATAATAATAATAATAATGTGCAATAAGATTTTAAAAACAGTTATCATCAGTGTTTTCTTATTACTGCTTTGTAGGGGTCGTATAAACGCACTGTATAACCTTCTGCTTTACTGATCACTTGGGCCGGAAGGACTTATAAACTTTAATTATATAAAGTCACTTAAGAAATGGACTGATGGCGAGTAACGAACTTGTTAATGAGAGAGGAGGAGGAGAAGAAAAAGTGAGAGAGTGAGTGAGTGAGAGAGAAGGTGGGGGGGGGAGAAATAGTGAGAATGTCAAAAGTAGGGTGAAACTAAACGGACTTTTAAAAGGAATATTCACAAAGAAACTAGCTCTGTATATTGGCGGTGGGGCGTGGTGGGAGGGAAATGGCGCCAAGTCTAGTTCGCTTCTCTATTTTCACAAGTGTATTTTTCTTTAATAAAAAATGTTACTGCTTCCTGTCCTTTATTTTTATTTTTTTTTTATTTTTTAGATTTTTTAAAAAGAGACGGGGGGAGTGAGTGAGTGTGCGTGCGTGTGTGTACGGGGGTGGGGGAAGCGACGCAGAAAGAAGTGTGGCCCGTTGTCGTTCTCAGAGTGGATTTTTAGTTTATGACACACCCTGACTTTTTACGTAAGTTCTCTATATATTTCCACGAGTTATTAAAATGAAACAAAAACTGGCCAAGCATTAGAGATTTGGATGAAATTTTAACCGCAGACTTTTAAATATAAATAAACTAAGTCTGGCATAAGGCTACTTGGATCGAGTTTTGTTTTTAAGACCTGGCTATGTCTGAAATTCTTTGTACTGCATATATGATGGCTGTCTACCCGAATTCGAGCCTGAACCTTTTGTTACAAGTAAGAAAGTACGTCTAGTGTAAGAAAGTACATGTTACAAGTAAAAAAGTACGTGTAACTCAGAGAGATTATTGTGACACTTGTACAATATAAAAACTAATTAGTTAATTTTGTTCACGTTTATTTTGGGCGTAAGATTTAATTTATTTCGTTATTAATAATATATATATATATATATATATATATATATATATATATATATATATATATATATATATATATATATAGTGCGTAGGTATGCAGAACATAGAAAAGAACACGTTGGGTGCATAATCCGGAGTTCCTTAGTATTAGTGTAACCCGGATATAAGAGAGTTGTCGGGACCGGAGAAGAAGTCTCTTATATCCGGGTTTCTTATATCCGGTTTGGTCTATTTTATATACATTAACACAGGCTCTAATTTGGGACCAGAGAAAATCTCTCTTATATCCGGGTTTCTCTTATATCCGGGTCTCTTATATCCGGGTTACACTGTATTTTTGTTTTTATTTTTAAGAAGACAGTGCTCCATACAGAAGTAGAGCTTTATCATAATATTTTTTTGTTTAAAAATATGATTCCTTCGCTACATAAGAGTTCCCATGTTTCAAAAACGAGCGAAGGAATCATATTTTTAAACAAAAAAATATTATATATATTATTAATAACGAAATATATATGACACACACACACACACACACATATATATATCATTAATAACGAAATATATATTACACACACACATAGATAGATAGATAGATAGATAGATAGATAGATAGATAGATAGATAGATAGATCTTGTTATCGAGCACTATGCTTATGAAGACTGCCTGCCTTAAAAAACATTATATTCCAGAATTACACTTGTCGTCCGTTTTTCACGAAATAATTGACTGATTCAGTTTCTACGGCTATTCAACCATTTACAGGTTATTTACATTATTCAGACTGCTGTCTTCATCTTTAGTGTCATATTCACGACGCTTCGGCCATGTATGAAAGGAAAAGGGAGATCACCGCCTCGTTTGGGATGAAGCTGAAATAATAGACAAAGAACGTCACTGAAAAATACGAAAACTTCTGGAATCAGTGCATGTGGTTGGCCACAAAATTCTCTGAAGCTGGTCAAGCATAGAAATGAATACAATATGAGAACCAGTAATACAGAGAGCTAGAGAAAAACAATAACAACAAATTGTAATATGAGATCAGGTAAAAACTTTTACTGAAACATTAAGTTTTAGGTCCCAAAAATTAATTCACTGATGTTTCCACGGACATGTGGCCCAGTGGATAAAACTGTTGGTTGAAACAATCTAGTGACTTGACCCAAGAGTTGTAAATAGTGTAAATAGTTACAATACCTCACCTTTGCAGATTATTTAAAGCCAGGAAATATTTTTGTCAGTATTTGTAGATGGGGGGGGGAGATAATAATGATTTAATGATAAATGTCTTACTAAGACATTTATGGAAATGAAGAGGTGGATTCATACCGTTCCCAAAAATACCGCGTAAGTGAATATAACGGACCCAAATGAAAATGGAACTCGGCTCTCCAATTAAGAATTCCGAGCTATTATCAATTGCACCACCCTCACATCGAAATTTCCAGTAGCCGCCCTTTCCAAGCGGTCACCCATCTAGGTACTGTCCAGGCTGCTCGATGTTGCTTAACTTCCACGATCGTATGAGAACCGGTGTTTCAACGCCGCTAAATAGTGTGTGTATATATATATATATATATATATATATATATATATATATATATATATATATATATATATATATATATATATATATATATATATATATATATATTATATATATATATATTTGAAAAATACTTTTACAAAGTTTTGGGGTGTGTTCCTTACGCCAAAACAAAGACACAAGTCCACATAAACATAAATTAAGTTTTAAAAAAGTTTACGCTAGATGGCGCTGTGTTGACATGTAGATTAGATTACATTTGTCATTCGTGTACATCTGTGTCTAGAATGTCTTCAACGGTTAACGTGTGTAGTTGTGAGTTAGTGTTCTGTTTAACAATGGCAGGATATTCATATCGTGTGCAGGCAAATATGATTTTTACATATGACTGCGCAAATTGTAATGAACGAGAGTCTGCACGGCTGTGTCAGATTGCATTTTCAGACTGAAGGCAACAGAGTCATCCGATCTCTGCTGCTGTTTGCACCACAATCTATGGATCGAGTAAGACCATGATCCGCTCGTACGCCTGACTACGAAGAACACATTCTACAGGCTGTCTGAGACGATCCAGGTGGCAGCATACGTTAAGTGACCCAAGCATGTGGAAGCATGGAGGTTACTTCAAGAGCAGTACTTGTATCCGTTTCATTGTAACGTGTGCAGGGTCTTTTTTAATTACTCACTACGGGAGAACTTTTGCCGATGGCTTATTGCACAAATGCTGATTCGTTGTTTGTTTCTTCAGTCATGTTTACGGGTCATGCAATATTTGGAAGAGATTGAATAACAAATTTACACAACCGACATTTGTGGGCGAAACGGAATCCCCGTGGTACAATACAGGCTAGACACCAGCATCAGTTTACGATTAATGTGGAACTGTAGGTGACTGTCTGGTATGCTAATTATTATTAGCATATACCATTCAAGTACCTTTTCATTACCCCCTAGGTAATATTTATACTGAAATAGACGGTATTGCAATGGGATCTCCTTTATGCCCCTTTTTTTCTAATTATTATATGGCACATTTCGAAAATAAAATACTTAATGACACTAATAAACCTCCTATATATGTAAGATACATAGATGTCATTTTCGTTTTCGCTAAAAATATTGATCAAACTGCACAACTTAAAAACAAATTTGAAGGTCACACCGTCCTCAAAATTACATTAGAACTTAATAATAAAATTCCATTCCTTGATGCATTTATTGATTCCAGCACACAAAGTTACTACTTCTCTATATAGAAAACCCACTAGCATTAACTTGTGTCTTCTTAATTATAATAGTGAATGTCCCCAACAATATAAGTTAGCTGTCATAAAAACTTAATCCAACACACAGAAATGATATCTTCTTCCAAAACCATATTTTATAAAGAATTACATAATATCAAACACTTGTTAATAATGGATTCCCTTATTCTGTCATTGATCAACAAAGTAAAATGTATTTGAATAAACTTAATAAAACCTGTAATAAAATTGATAATATTAATAATAATCGTGTACGTCAAAATAAACATAACACTATTAACTTAAACAATTGTAACCAAATGTATAATAATTACAAACATGATGAAACAACAGTCAAAAACATAATAAGTAGAAATGTTAAACCCATTAATAATAATAAACATGTTAAGCTCATCATATATTATAAACAATTTCAAACAATTGACCTCATAGTCTCTAATAACCCTGCAATCACACAACTAAACCCTCTACAGAAAACAATATAGTGCATTAATTTACATGCCCATTCAGAGATTGTATCTCTGATACTAATATTAAACCCAGAACATATATTGGTTTTACTACAACCACGCTCTCCCGTAGACTTACTTGGCACGTTTCTGATCTTCTGTTCTATTAAACAACATTTCTTAGAAAAATATAGCCATGTACATAATATGAGACAGATATTAGTTGATAATACTCACACATACACACAGTAAAAAGAGTCTTCAGATATTGGAGCCCATCTTCATTAAAACAAAGCAACCCACACTCAACAAAATTACATTTCAAACTAGTCACAACACATTACTTTGTATCTAGACATATCGTTTTGTTCTTAATATTTCGGTCTCTCAGGTGGTACGATGTCATAGAACCGCATCATGAATTTACGACCCACGTCTGCTATTCCGCGACCGTTATTGGCGCATAGCAATCTTCTATGTCAACATAACAGAATATCATCTTTGATGGTGGATAACTTTGTTTAAATGTCCGTATAACCATTCTGAAGATGGCTCATGTGGTTCGAAACCTGTGATCAAGGAACAACTTAATAAAAATATCCATATATAACGTTGAACAATTATTGTCTTTATTTTCACAGGAAATTAAAGTAAATACACGGAGTTTAAAACGGCTCATAATCAAACATAATAGACATTCATTATCTGTTATATTTAACAATATATATTTAAATAATGACCTGCTGCCCAAAATACAATATATATATATATATATATATATATATATATATATATATATATATATATATATATAGTAAATACGTTAGCATAATCCAAGCCAGTCCTATTAATATAGTATTTGAAATATTAAATATTAAATGTTAAAACTGACAGACAATTTAACAATCACAGTTTAAATTTAAAATTGTAGGTGAAAATGATCATTAACTAATGGTATCTTAATTCCAATTGTAATATATATATATATATATATATATATATATATATATATATATATATATATATGTGTGTGTGTGTGTGTGTGTGTGTTTTCATGCATTCGTACCAAGTATACGTGGGTAAGGTTTTCTGCTTGGTTTCCCACTTACTTTACTGCTACTTCGTGGGTATTTTTTCAATGTCAGGTTTAAAAAAATGAACTGAAACAAAGAAAAACAAAATGGAGAAGAAAAGAAAGAGTAATATAATATGGGTATTCGGCTGGATTCCTAAGTCCATTTTGATCAGAAATTACCTTTGTATAATTTTCAGACTACGTGAATAATGAAGGTGAATTGATCTGAAAGGAGATGTTAAAAATATTTATTGTATAAAAAAATATTTTTTCACGACTAAGATACGGACATACTAGAATATATAATAACTTTATATATCGTATTTTAATAATAATAATAATAATATATAAAAAATTATAGATGGGTGTGTCAGTCGCGTAACGTTTATCAGTGGGAAAAGTTGAATTGTCGAGCCGAATTCAAATTCCTACCGAGACTGTTGCGTTAAATTTCGCGTTAAGGCCCTCGAGAAGAGTATGGATCCATCCCGTCACTCTCCTGTAATGGGTTAAATAACAGGTTTGACTGGGATTAACCTTAGGCGGTATCTGATGTAGGAGAAAGTAACTCTGAACTCGAAAATGTGGAGAAAACTGTGTGAAACCACTCCTTTATCTTCCTCAAGTAGTCATGGCAATTCAATGATGTTAAAGAAAAGGAAGCTGTGGAGAGCTATGCTCGCCTGCGCTCTGAAGGAACATAGCCTAAAAACAACAAAAAAATCTAATTGTAGATTCTCCTTTCATTTAAATAAGATCAACTACTTGTCATCATAGATTTTACAAGGTGAAGAAGTACTTGCGTAATTATAGCTATCTAGCTAACTTCTTGGGCTAGCCATAAATGTGACGTGTGCACTGCGTGTGGTCGCAAGAAATTTAGGGAAACCTTTAACATATATCTACGATATAAATCTGGCAAGTGCGGTAGTGGGTAACGAAGTAGCTGGGAGTTAACTGAATGTGGCTGGAACTTGTTTCGTGTCACGCCCGTAAGATGAGTGGTTGTATAATCATGCGGTAAGAACATGCGACCACCGATTAGAAAAAAAGTACAAATGGTCTGCAACAGCATTTGTGTATGTAATACTGTCAAAACAGGCTCCAGCACATATTCTACAATATTAAAGAGCCAGCAACCGCTTGCACAGCACTCTGCTAACTGGCAGGATACATAGCCTTATGTTGTTTTCTCCACACACGAACTCGACCGTCAGCCCGAAAGCGCTAGAAACTTGAGTCGTTTGACTATGAGAGCAAAAGACAGTCTTCTATGGTCCAATGATAATGTTCTTCGCCAAAGTGAAAGTGCATGGTGCGCGCTAACAACTTCGCGCTGACTGGTAGGCTGAGCGTACCAGTGTTGAATTGGAGTAGGGTCTGATACCAGGTACCGTTTACAGCGGTTCATTTCCAGCATAACTTCTGGGTACCAGCCACTCTTTGAATTCACGTATTCACATATAATCTAGCTAGAACTGCAAAAGAAACACTGAAAATAGTTACCAAATATTTCTAGCCTAGAAATCATTCATATAACGTATATGCAATCTAACAGGTAATACGGTAGTGTAGCTGTGACAGTACAACTGAAGAAATCGTGGGTCGTGAAGAAAACTTAACACCGTTTGCCCGGCTTAAATAACAGCTATATATATTATGTTACACATACGCTGTCCAGCTCGGTTGTTTTCTATCAGTGTAGCCATCCGGTATGAATTTCATTTTATGTGCCGTATACTTTCAATTTCTTATCTTTTGTTGCTCTAAGCAATATTTGTCTCCTTACTATATATTCTAGTCCCATTCTTTCATCTATTTACACAAGTTCGTTAGGTTACTTGTTGTTTCCCTTGAGCTTTCAGTATACCTTGCGAGTGTTAATTTCTCCAAGTTCTCTTTCCGCATTATGTGTCCCAGAATTCTTTTCGTTTCTTTCTGATTCGATTGTTTCTTGTTTGTTTGTCTTGTTTTCTTTTACGGCATATCAACCTCAATGGCTTATTTAATGCCGACAAAATTTTTATTGATGATAATTTTTTTTTTTTTCAAAAATGTATTGCTGCTAATATTTTTTTTCAAATGTATTGCTGTTAATATTTTTCTTTTAAAAAATGTACTGCTGGCAATAATGTATTACAGGGATTAATTTTTTCTTAAAAAATGTATTGCTGGTAATAATTTTTCCAAAAAAGTATTGCTGGTATTAAAACCT